GAAAACGCAGATTTTCGTTCTCAGCTTTTGGACACAAAAAAAAAGCTAGAAGCGCTAGAAGCCGAGCTCCACAGACAGAAGGTTGAGTGTGTGACGGACATGAAAAGTGAACTAGTTGTCGACCCAAGAAAAAGTGAAGCAGTGGGCGCTTCCTCAAATGCTCAACTGATGAGTTTTTCACTGGTTCCACATTTGGGTGGGAAATGTCAGAGCCAAGGGCCAGTACAGCTAAAACAGGAGTATGGCATTCAAGTGGCGCGTCTCGTAGATGAGCTACAGCGCAGCAATGACCAGATAAGAAACAAGGATGCAGAATTCAAGCTGCTAGTTGTGGAACTCGAGTCTGCACGACGCGAAAGCGCGGAAGCGCAGAAGCGACTGAAAAAGCTGCAGAAACGATACGAAGTAGCACGAGCTGCCTGCGTTCAGCAAAAAAAATTGGCGTCTTCGATATCTCTTTCGCTTAACTCCTTTGACCTTGCTGTAGGGTCAGCGACAAGCAGCGCGGGCCAGAGATCGACTGGTTTGCGCTTCAAGGAAAATGACGTAAATGGTCCCATAAAGCCGACTGATGATAACACAGCACCTGCAGAAGTCTGCGTCCTCGCGAACGGTGTCTCTTGTTGGAATGATTCCGCTGGAGTGGTCAGCGAGCCAACGACGGATAACATCCATAGACGAACGCTGAAGCCCATGTCGTACGATATTGAGGGTCCAGTTATGTTGTCTCATATGTGTAGGGCAGCAATGGACGTGGCGATGCCGTCGCCTGCCACGCTACAGAACTGCACTGTTCATGCCTCGGAGTCTCATTCGTGTCACCCGTGTTTCCGGCGCCAGTTAATTCGGCCAGAAATCAATTCTGGAACGTATGGAATAACTAGTCGGTCAACCGAAGGGATGCGCTGTGCTGCTTCATTCTCATCATCTTGTCAGCAGTTGTGTGATGCGGCTGTACAGCCCGTTGGTTGCTCACGGGCTGATGCGGGAAACGAAATTCTTGCGAAGAACGCTTCTCCAACTACCAACGATCCCACCAAAGATGAGCAATTTCTGCGAGAAAATAATCCTTCAAAACAGGAAATGCACGGTTATTTATCTTCCGCAGCGGTTAATGACAAAAAGTGCCGAGCAGAAGTGCCGTCAATACAGGAAGTCTCCAAATTCCGCCCTCCCGCACCAGCTTGCTTTTCGGACGTCACTAATAAAGTTCCAACTCAACGTGAAGTAACGTGGGACGCTTCTGATCAAAAATCAACCCCACAAGGCATTTCGGAAGGGCTGTTACAAAAAGATATTAAACAGTCTGGGGAGAATGACGATGCGAAAAGCAGTGCAATCAGTGAGAAAAACCGAGGTATAACTGCGTGCGGGCCACCTCTTTGTATTCCTTGGTGCGACACCCACCGAAATAGCCCTTCTGACATCGGTGCTCTACTCAGTGGAGAAGAAAACGTAAGTCCTTCCAGCATGTGCCAAGATAATTTACCGAGGGAGCCTCTTGCGCAACTGACGAGCAGTGGTAACTGTGAGGAACTTCTATCCAAAAGTGGGGCAAGCCAACAAGACTTCCAAATTCGATGCTCCCTTCCAGACAAGGCCTCTGGTGAGGTTAGTCTTAAAAACGAACAGCCAACTACAGTGACAAACAAGCCGCCTATAGAGGAGGGCCAAGCACTCCCGCTTTCCACGGGAGATGCCAGAAGAGATTCCCTGTCGGGTATGGCTGAGCTAGCAACAGAATTGAGAGATGCCGACTTCTCAACGCGGATAAAGCTCGGTGAACAGATTGAAAGCGTTCCTGTACGTTGTCTTGAAGACAGAGAATCTGGAAAAGAGGCGTCAGCGCCTTCCTGCCCTCCAACGCCTACAGAGCCAGAGCTTCATGACACCCCAGTGCGTCCTTCTGCATCAGTTGTAGAGCAACGAAATGAAGTTTCTACGGTTGAGCGCGTACAGAGCCCCTGGGCAGAAGCATCAATTGAATCCTCGCTTCCCGAATCCCCCAAAGGCCTTTCCAACTTTCCTTCTCTCTCCTGTCATGTAGCTGCTACAATCGAGGGAATCCCTGCTCCTAGTAGCACTAACGTTGACTTTAGAGGAAGTTGGAAGGCACTGTCCAAAGAGCGGCTGTTTTCGAGGGACAGTGCAGTTTCGTCTTCCCCCTCAGAGAACGATTGGCTAGCATGCGTATCGCCTACGGATCCAAATGCCAACGAGCAAGCAGCCAGCTACCATCCAGTTCGTTAACATCAAAGAGTGCTGCTCCCTATTTCCTTAAAAGCGCTACTTAACAATGATCTCTCTCGATCATTTTTTTGATAGTGCAGTTTCAAGTATTGCCCCTTGGCAATTTGCCCTCCCACGGGGCTACGGAACTGGCAATGGCAAGTAGCAGACCGCTGCTGCTAGACCGTTGCTCGTTTCCTTCTATGAAGCTTAGCATTTTAAAAATTGGTACAACACTGCAGAAAAGTCCTATCAGCGTAAGTGAGCGCAAAAGGAACATAATTAATGGCTGGCAGTCCTTGCGTTGTCTCGAGAGTAGCACAGCTCTCCTGCGCCTCACACCGTCGCCAAACTGTTCATGCCTTAAAGCTACCTTGTCGATACTGGGCAACGGCAAAGGCACTTATGTGCAGCGCGGAGGCAAACACTTCCCCTTAGGACAAAAATTCTTAAAGCGAAGTGCAGCAATGCTTTTAAAAGCAAACACAAGCACATATATGTAAAATAGTTAGCTAAGGAGAAGAGAACGAAGCGTATTCTCGCGTAGTGGGCGACATGGAGCAGCACCTCTGCTTCTTGAAGCAGGAGACGTCGTCACACAGCGGTCTCTATGTAGCTTTGAAAAGCTTCATCTTGCTGCCTTGCATGAAAAGCACGCTGGGCCCTCCATGCTCACGAATGGCTTTGTCGAACAGGGCAACTTGCAATACACCTTAGTGCTGGTCTCAAAACAAGTGCTGAAATTAGGGGCCACCGTTGTCTTATATTTTACGCTACACAAGAAGGGGCAACGGAAGTCAACTTGAATGGCTTGCTATGGAAGATAACTTCATGCGCAAATAAGATGGCCACTCTATGCGAGTGGCTCTTAGTCTACGTGTAACAGTTGGTATCCTATGCTGTTTGGAGCTGCGTGTATTAAAGGAAGTGCTGGACCCCTGTGTTGAAGGCGCACAGAGCTACGTTGGCTCTGAAGGCAGCTAAGTCTAAGAAGAGACCCCTGCACCTACTGGCGCCATCACCTCGTGTGGATGGAGGTGTGAATGGCGCACGCCTATGCGTGTTGCCACTCCCCCTGACCCCGCTTCGGTCCTTAGAAATACGTGCGGACAGCTTGCCACTCGTGCACGAAATTTCAGCTTTCCATCTGTTCCAGCAGTGTACTTTCTGTTCGGACCGCATGACGGCCTCTGGCTGACCCTGCTTGCCGTACAGATTGAATGCGGCAGTTTAATTCTATATTCCTTCTCACTCAAAAGTCACTTGAAAAGTTTGATAATTAGCTTTTCCTCTAGCTCCTCTCGCAGCTAAATGACAAAAAGCGCTCCCCATAAAAGAGACACTGTAGCATTAAGATGTCAGACTGTATCTCTTTTAGAGTTTATCCACTCAAAATTTTAATCCAGGGTGGACTTAAGAAATGAGGCTAGGATGTAGTGAATCAGTTGTTTGTGGAAAGGCATCCATATCTGCAGTAATACGCTTGACATCAGACACGTTTTAGGAACTCGAGGGACAGCGCTTGTGACCTATTCGAAAATTGAAAAAACTATGGAGAAAATTGCGGATTACCTCAATAGTTCACATTCGACACTGCATCCAATTCCAAGTTCAAACTCATCAAGTTGCCCTGAATTCAAGGAGTCAACTGAAGCCAGCTGCCGCATAGACTTAGAGGTAATGAACGTAACAAAATTTTAGTGAAGATCCATGGCTATTCATTTGTACTTTTTATACCTGATGCTGCATACCGGCGAACTTTTTTTCCTGGCATCTAGGAGAGATGCCACATTGATTGTTGAAATTAGAGGAATAGGCAGCAAAAGGCTTTGTCTCTCCATGCGCCAAGCAAGTTGGAAATTGTGCGAGCTTCAGATAGCTGCATATTACATATGCGCTGGCTCTTTGAAAGGTTAAATTGCGGTGGTTGTCTAAACTCCAACGACTCCGCGCAATGAAAGGTCACAGTATCTCACTAGAACGCAGTCCTCCAGCAAGACAGCTTGAAATCTGTCACGATGTGTGAGCCGCACCTGCACAGAGGCACGTATGGAAGGAAGGCAAACTCCACTGTATAAGTGCTATTAGCTTTTCTCAAGAACAAAGTACAGTATTATCTAATGCCAGCTGAGCGTTAAGGTCTGCAGCGGATTCAATTCATGGTACATTTGTAGCAGAACACAGCATTTGTCTGCCGCGCTTGCTCCTACAGAAGTGCTTCAAAAAATTAAACATTAAAACTAAACAGATTAATTTTCTGATACGGCTGAACTAGATCCAGCAAGAAGCATCTCGCATTATGCCACTTTCGTGGGCGACAAAGGCTCCTGGCATACGACTGAACTTAAGGGAGCAGTATATACCAGTGAAATACTATCTTTGATGGAATGGAATGTTTGTAAAGCTTGTACGCATATTTAGCATGCAGACTTTTACAAAAACTAGACAATACGAAGATGGTCGACCAAGATTTGATCAGAAGAGGCAAGGGGAAGAACCATGGTATATTCGCTCACTGCATGCAGTACAGGCCTGTACTTTCTACGAGCACCAGCTGGGGCTGTTTACAAAACCAGAAGTGCCCCGATACTTAGCACCAAATCATTTTTCTGCAAGCCGTAAACATTTTTAAAAGAGCCTTCTGAGACTGAAAACAGGGCGAGGAGCACGCCTGGAGGCGGCTGTCAGAGGTGACCTCAGGCTGCTTCCTTTAACAGGAGACATATGGTAGTACGCATGCGTTAACTTACAAGAAATTTTGTACAGACAAGATGGATTTTATGTATGAAGGCCGCGAAGCGGGCGTTCTATTACATCCAACGTCGCTGCCTAGCAAGTGCGGGATTGTAGGGGACTTTGGGGAGAGTGCCGAGCCTTTCCTAGATTATCTTAGAGCGGCAGGTTTCTCTTATTGGCAGGTGCTTCCTGTTGGGCCTTGCACTTATTCTCAGTCCCAGCCTGGATGCCCATATTTAAGCACCAGCTCATTTGCTCTAAACCCACTACTGGTTTGTCCTGCTGGTTTAGTATCCTCAAAGCTCGTGACGCAGGAAGATGTAGCTAAGCTAGTAGCGAAGTGGCAGGCAAAACAGCAGGAGAGGAGAACCCTTAACACAGTCTCCCACTTGCAGGAGGATGTGGACTGCGAAGCATTCGTAGATTACCATGTAGCAAAGGGCTACAAAGATGAACTGCTTGCGCTTGCGTACAAGACGTTTACAGAAGCAGTTCCCACCGAAGAATATGAAGATTTTTGCAAGAGTAATAAATTCTGGCTCGACGGGTATGTGCTGTTCGAGGCAATACAAGCAAGACATCCTGATGCATCCTCATGGCTTGACTGGCCAGAGGAGTACCGGTCATTTAAGAGCCTCGTTAAAAACGAATCCTTGATGCAGGGGCTTGAATCGCCCACGGAGGACCAGAGCCTGTCTAATAGGTCGGGTGGTGGCCCACCTGAGCTGTTACTACCACAGTTTCACCGCTTTGTGCAATTCATACTTTCCAAACAGTGGAGCCAGCTGCGTCGCCGGGCCAATTCAAAGGGAATTAAAATTCTAGGCGATATAGCGTTCTATGTTAACATGCACTCAAGTGACGCTTGGAGCAACTCTGAAATGTTCCAGATGGATAGTAGCACCAACAAGCCACTCTACGTTTCGGGTAAGGAAATTAAGACGCTGCAGGCAGATGGCGCGGCATTTTCAAGCAGACTTAATTTCGCGGATGCACGGCCGCAACAGTTCTTATTAGCTTTTGCTGCATGTAAAGTGATGGGCATGCAGGCGTTCCACCCGATTATTTTAGCTCCGAAGGGCAACTTTGGGGGCATCCTGTTTACGCATGGGATGCTCACGCTCGCACAAATTTCAGCTGGTGGACGCGTCGTGTGGCTAGAAGCTTTGAAAAATTTGATGCTTGTCGCCTTGATCACTTTCGTGGATTCGAGTCTTACTGGCGAGTACCGTACGACTTTGCAGTGGAGCACAAAAGCGCAAGAAATGGAGAGTGGGTAGCGGGGCCTGGAACCAAATTGTTCGATGCAATCTTCAAAAACTTGGGATGGGAAAATCCCAGGGTAAATGTTGCAACTGCCTACTCAGAAGCATTATCTAAACGGTCGAAGAAGCCTTCAATTAAAAAAAAAATTTTGAGTGTACTTAACAGACATATACTTGCAAAGTCTCCTCCACAGACAAAAAATTCCGGGACGCGGCACTCTTTTGGAACGCAACTAGGAGGCGATCCGCTTAAACCAGCACCTTTGCTCATAGCCGAAGATTTAGGATTCATTACTCCTGAAATTGTGGCACTTAGAGACAAATACAGCATATTCAGCATGCGTGTTATGCAATTTGCGTGGGCGGACAACGAAAAAGGGCTGCGTTGCGAGCATTTGCCCTACAATCACACGCGGGATTGCGTCGTCTATACTGGGACACATGACAATGCAACTTCTCAGTCATGGTGGAAAGAAGCGTCCGATGAAGCAAAAACGCACCTCTTAAATTACCTTGGTGAGGTCAAAGATACCAACGAAAAACATTTGAAGCCCTGCAAGCACAGCAACGACGACGAAAGCTTCAAAGCTCCACTGTAAATTGGCTACGCTTTTCGTCCATACTCAAGGATGAACAATGCTTTTGCGTGTAGGCTTAAAAGAGGAGCCTTCAGATTTTGCAGTTCACAGGCTATTAGCCCACTTGGCTCTCCTCAGTGTTGCTCACCTCGTCATACTCCCAGTTCAGGACATACTGGGGCTTGACGATCGCGCAAGATTCAACCTTCCTGGCGTCGATAGCCCAAAAAATTGGAGCTGGAAGCTAAAGAGTTTGGAGCCTCTCTATGCCCCAGAAAGCCTAGACCCTATCCGCAATATGCTAACTCTATCGAATAGGTATTCTGCCTCTCAGTGAACCGGTAAGTTTAGATTGTGTGATTGAAATGTTTAATTGAGTCTTGTACTCTGGAATCTGTGGCTTTATGATAGGACGCTGCAGGCCTTTTGTATTCGCAGGTCTCCTTCCGCCCGTCATTAGACCCGAGTAATCGCTTAGCCTTTTCTACAGGAAATGCTTCGTCATTTTCCACATAACCTTAGAAATTTAACACTGTATGCGCTGAGTACGGGCGCTAGCTAGACAAAGCACTGTAGGTAACAACCAGCACAATAGTTTGGGGCAATTAAAATCGCGCTAAGCACGAACTGAAAGGCCCTACGACAGAAGCCTCGGGCTTCTGGGCCCTCCATTTCATGCATATTGCTTTAAAAGCAGCATGCGTGTACATTTTGTTTCGGGCAAGGACCCCGGGACAAGTTATGTCGGCAGTGTGGTACAAGTAAGCACTGGCCGAAAGCGAGGTGTTCAGTGAAGGCATTCGCGCCTATGCAACGAAGAGACTAACAACTCCCACGTGCCTTCTTTCCTTGTAACAATGACTGTGTAATCTGCATAGGCCACCTTGGACGCAATCATGCATTGGTGGCATCAACAGAGAAGCAACTGCTCAGCGTACACATATAACGTTCTCCATTGATTCGCTTTTTCGGACACATCATCATGTCACCGCAAAACATAGTAGAAGTGCATGGAACAAAGGCATTAGTTGCGAAGATAAACATGACATTTTTGACAGAATGATTCGTTGGAAAATTTCTTGTCGTCTTGTGCCTGTGTGTGTAGTTACCAGTCACGGTTTTATCAGATTAGGGGCAGCAAGATCGGCATTGCCCTAAGGTACTTCTTTTATTATGTTAACACTGCAAGCATTTCCGAAGAGCGCAACTCTGCCGATTATGTGCATGTTCTGCGAAACCTGCAGTGGTTTAGACGGCCATAGCTAGGTACCAGAAGGACGCCTGTCAAATTTTCTCACACAAGCTCCATGCCTATTTTTTCCGTCTTTGCATAGTAGAAGATGACTATTTTAAAGTTCGCAGTATTTTGTTTCGTATTTACGTAAAACTAAAGCCGCAGAAGTTTCATCAAGGGAATAGAGAGTGCGAACCCGTATTAAGATACACAGTCGAAGAGTCTCCATAGGATTCATCTATCTCTAGTATGAAAGCTAGTGATGGCCGTAAGAAATCAACTTGTGTTGTTCCCTTTTCGATAGCCACGCTTAAAGCAAGCTGCCTGTCTGCTCAGTATTTCTTTCTATACAAAGCGTAAAGCTTCTCACTGATGAGTCACCAGCCTGCCACAAAAATTTACAATTTGTTGGACTCAAACTCCTCCTCAACACACCTTGGAGGCTCTATGTATAGCACTGTACTCTGTACACAAAGTTCCTCATGCTTCTATTTTGTTCGATAACTCCTTAGCATTTGTACAGACATTACGATAGTGCTGGAGCAAATTGCAGCAACGTGGATGAGTGTAGATATATTTATTGCAATATCTTTTGCACATTTTTGCAGTCTGGAGATGCCGAACTGCACACGAAGGTCGGGTTCAGATATTTTCTTCTATCAGCATGCAGCTCCAAGCGGCATTTTGTCTGGTCAATATAATAATGTGGAAAGGGCGTAAAGGCAACACCGGCACAACCTGCAAAACGGCCACCCACCAAGTCCTGGGATGATCCTCAAAGTCTGGTAAAAGGTTACCCGAGATAATATATTCTCCACAGGTCACTGCTATGGCTATTTGTTTTTCGCTGCATGCAAGATTAACGTATTCCCTCTTTTGAGTTTTATTTGCAGTTGCAGCCTAGCAGTTCGAGTTCGTAAAGTTCGTGATGTTCTGTCCCGGTGGTTGCGGGCCCATTGAAACTGCGTCCACATCTGCTGGAGCTTACTGAGTAACTCCTTGCTTTTAACTTCAGCTCTGCAATTTGCCAAAAGCATGCCGCCTTTGTGGTCTTTCTCTACACCGACTTCCGGTGGCCCCCGTGCGGGTACCGAAAGCTTGCTCGACCCTACCACCACTGAATCCTCAAAGCCGTGTTCTACGTCACGTATTACGAAGAAAGTCACCTAATTGTTTCAGCCAGATTGCTGAAATGTAAGGAGTAAAAAGGCAAACAAAATTGACAGCAGGGGAGACACTGATGCCCCGGTTTTTTTTAAAGTACCTGCGTTGTGCTTACACAGCGAAAAGAAAAGAAAATCATGTCGTGCCACAACGAAACTACGAGCATATCTGCTCGAAGGTTTCGTAAGAATCAATTTTCACTAAAGTTAAAGATAGCGAGAGGGGCGTTTCGAAGGGTTCTTGGGAAATGCTGAGAAAGTGCTGAGTCACTTTAAAACTGTCTGCGTCCGTGCGTGTAGTAACAGGCAGACCGAATTCCTTAACACAGTGCGCGAAAAATGTCCCCTACTGAGGCCCTTAGAGCTAGGCATTCGTTTTTTTCAAAGTTTATTCTGTTCACAACTTTAGTTCATATATTCTTTTCACTGCTCTGAAGCTCCGTACTGTCCTTAGGTCTTTTAGTCGCTTTTGCTCTTAAGTGCCAAACACACTTTGGATCTTCTGTGAATTCACAATGTGTATACTTATGTTGGGTATCAAGTAGATTAACATTTTTGTGAATTCACAATGTGCATACTTATGTTGGGTAGCAACTAGATTAACAATTCCCGGGATTTCATTCGGTTTCAACAGTCGCTCAAGTGCAGTTCAAACGGAAGCCAATGTAAGCATGGTCCTAGACCCACGTAATTTGTCCTTTCAACATAATGTTCGTAGGCACCTAGGATCTACAGTATAATGTTGATCACGCCACAGCATCAGCCTTGATAATCTGCGAAACAAGTCTGTGAGCTGCTCTATTTGCGAGCAAGTCACGCCACAAACCCAGCCCAAGGGGCTGAAGAAAAATTGTTCTGGAGTTCAGCGGTTTTTGCTGAACTCTGATGGTCTCCAGCTCTGAAAACCAACTCATAAATTGTGAGGTCCACGGTTAACTTTTCCAGCTCCGCACGTCAATAATGTAACCGCTGCCCTGTTTAGCGACCGTGCCTCACTCCGCAGAATTCTAACGGCCTCCAAGCAGGTGGGCGCCATTAGAATCATATGCGTTGCATTCTTGCTTCAACGTCTTTTGAACACTACTAACCCATTCGGCAAATGCAGCCACTGTAGGGGTCCTGCAAATTTGTTCAGTGCTCAATGTTTGAAAAAATGAAGAAGCCAGGGGCAAGAGCATGCACCGGGAAGGGTAGTGTCGCGGCGCAAGTGTATTGAAAAATAAAATAAAATTTTTGATCGTTATGGATATCTTTATGTTGGCTCCACCCACCGGATTGCCTGTTTGGTCCTGCAGTCAGGGGCCGCCTGCGATTGTGCTTGTGCTTTGCATTCAGAAGCTGGTTGGTAGGCGGGCCTAAATCGAGGCTCCGATGCACACTGACTATCGCCTCCACGCTCCGTCCTATCTCCGGCTTCTGCCAAAGGTGATGCAGCAATGCTTATCTTTGAGGCACTGCTGCCGATATCTTGCGCTCGGCATAGGCTTGCTCGTAGAGTTGGTCGCGTTTCGATTCTCCCATTTCCCGTTCTTCCACTTGCGACTCGGCGGGTCTGCATTGGCGAAAAGCTCAAGGTAACTGCAATATCTGACTACTTATATATAGAGGCAGTTAGGCTTGATTACGCTGCAGTATCTCCAATGCCTTCTCAAGCCATATATATAACGTAGACAGACACCTGTATTTTTGCGAATTGGATGTTAGCAATGTCTTCAAGTAGCCTGACAACGAGTCCGAACATAAACTCGAGTTCTTCGTGTTTGTTCTTGCTTTCCTTGATATCTGAGTATAATTCCGAAATCCGCTGTTCCAAAGCAGTATCCTGCAAAAAGCATTGACGCTCTCCAAAACAGCATTAGGTGGCCAAACTTGCAGCTTCCCAGTTGCTTACAATCAAGTTTAGGCACATTAGCATTTCTGGCGATATATTGTAGACTGCCTGTCTGACAACACTCGACCTCAGCACCTTATATCTGTGGATTCTTCACTTCATACCTGCCCAGTATTGTAAGTTTCTAGCTTTTGCAGATTTTCTGACAGAGTCTGGAGACAGTCACGCACAGAAACGTTCCAGAAAGAAGTTCTTTGGCCTTGACCAGAAAGGTGAAGTACGTTGACTCTTGGATATTTACCTAGCATGTAGCAATTTGACCCACTTGCACAGATTTTTGGGTGGATGGCGTGGTGGTTTGGAAGCAACTGTCTATACATCTATACCTCATTTCTTGAAGTCACTTCGAGTCCCAGGTTTTCGACTTCTTTCCTGTCAGCTTTTGCTGAATCGAGCTGTTTGACGGCTGTCCATATGAGCAGTATGTCTTTCATCATATTCTTAACATCATCTGAATAAACTCATCACTTGCTTTTTGCTTTGGAATCAAAATGCTGCTTTGTATGTCCGTCACTAAGTAATCTAAACTTTAAACAAGTGGAGTCAAATTACCGTCTCTTGCCACAAGGGCTAGTTGCTCGGAGAGTTGGGTAACCGTGCCTTCTGCGTTTTGTACGCGCTCCTCAGCATTGCGTCGAAATGTTGAGTGCATATCAAGCTCTGTAGCCATCTGTAAAGTGACATGAAGATGGAATTAACCGAAACGTTTTCCAGAATATGATCATTTTATTGTGAAGTAATGAAAGTGCCCTATCGTGTCACGCAGCTCGAACTCTTACTTCGCAAAAACAGTTTCCTACCAAGGGCTTACCTTCTCCAACGCTTCCGTGTCCTTTTTGGCCTTGTGCTCAAGTGCAGTGGCGCGGTCCTGAATTGTGAAGCAGGGGCAAAATGACTCAATCGGTGCAACACGAATGAGCACGCACCAAGCGTAAAGAATAGAAAATACGACAAAATCTGCTAGGAAAACCGATTGTGCATTTGCTGTACAGTCTCACTGTGTGTTAGAGAAAATTCAGTTTTAAGACTACAGCACAACTGGCAAGACTCGCATACCACTGCCAAACGGGATGGTCTAGCTGTTTTAACGTGAAGCAAGTGGCCTACTATTGTTGACTGCAGGTGCTCCCATATTTCCTTATTTTTGTCGGCTAATAGATCTGTTTTACGAGCCTCTGCTGCTGCTCCTTCTTCAAGGAGCTGGAGACGAGGATTAATAGCCCCGTTCAGAAAACCGTGTATGTCTGGTATAAGTTTAGTGCATTCCTCCTTGACTCGCTCAACTTCGGAGGCCCACCGGGCTTGGTAAAGCCACTTTTTGAAGGAGGCACGGATCTGCATGCGCAAATTAGCAGAAAGAAGCAGATAGGTCCTAAGACTCTTCTACATCCAAGCGGTTACAGGTGCAGCCTCATATTTTGTCTCTCCTTTAATAAACGTGTTTCATGTGAATCTAACGCAGAGAGATAGAGCTCGTTGCTAAGCCTGCAGAACAACGCTTTCTATCAACGGATTAGGCGCTTTGACACGTGTGTGTTCCCCACTGTGCTGTATATGCGGTTGGCTAGCAGCGAAAGCCCGAACTTCCGTCTGCTCGCAAGCCACGCTTGTTCTCTCCACCTGCGCACACAGTCATGTGCAACTTAGTTGTTTCTTTTTAACCTGCGCAGAGTTATTGCACCCAGAACAAACTGAACCGCTAAGTAGAGACTGCTAGCAAAATTTTGGGATTGTCTGTGCCTTTTTCTAATCAACTATATGTGCAGCGTGCGCCAAGGGGCCAAAACAGCTTCTTGTTTCTCCACAGCTTGAAATTTTGCAGGATGACTTGTAAAAGCCTAACCTGAGGAGTACGGATCGCTTCAAGTCCTTCTGTCTGCTTGTTTCCGCAGCCTTTGCAAGTATATCCAAACAGTAGCTAATTCGGAGGTTCATTCTATTTTCAATTTTGCCGCTGAGTGCTCGAATCTCACTATGATACTTTTGGAGCTCTGTTGTTGAAATGTTTTCAAGCGATTTCTCAACGCTCTTCCAAAGGCTCTCATATTTATTTTCAACCGAGGCGGCAAGCTCATTTTGAAGCCGCTCTACCTGCAGTAGCCGCCCTACACAAACGCGTGCATCGGATCGTGCTAAAGCTACGCTTACCATGGAAGCTACAACATAGCACACATAAAGAAGCTATGCTATTTAGCCTGCCACTGCGATGGGAATTTCCGAGCAGTTCCGAATGTTCCCGGGGGCTCAGGTGACATTTCCAGGGTTTGTTCGCTTTCAGTATATATATTTAATGCAAAAATGCAAGCCACTGATCAGTTGTGCGACCATTCGAAGAACGCATACAAATTTGAATGCACAATTCACCATTCGTACCTCACTGCAGCGGGCTTGTGTTGCTTGGCACTGAGAAATTGCAGTTGTCTGACCAACTTTCAAAGACTCGAATTCCGGCATGAGCTCTTGATATTTGTCATCAAGAAAAGTCTGCTTGTTTTCAACGTTCATAACACGGCTTTCAAAGTTGCTTGCAACCGCCTCTTGGTTTTTAATCTGACAGCGCAGTCACAAGCAGAGCAGCTGAAGTTCGTACAAATCGAGTAATGATGAAAGCGTACAAACTGCGGGTTGAGACGTTCCCATTTGAGTTGTCCCTGGCGAAAGTAAGAAGCTCTCAGTAAGTGGTTTGTCAGCTTGCAAACATTGATGTGCTCTCATATCAACGTTTGTGAGTCTATTGGAACTTTCTGTTTCCTTAAAAATTGCCAGGCGTGATAAACCTGTACTATTCTAAGCCAGTTCATCATTTATGCAAGCTTCCAGCCGCTTCTTAAACCCCAATGTGTGTGTGCGAGGTCAGCGGACCCCACTTTCGAATCAAGTTGAGAAATCTGTGACTGAAATGCTTTGATATCATTGTGATCACTGTCATATCTTTCCATTTTCTCTCCAATGCGTAGCTTGTCAAATGAGTCAAGGCGCTCTGACAAGCTGGCGATATCGCTCTGTAGCTTTTGCAGAACTTGTTGCTGCTCCTCGATACCATGTTCACCGCTATCAAGCTTTTTAAGCAGTGCGTCGACTGTGGATGTGAGCTCGTCTTGGCGTCTTTGAATAAGCTCCTGGGAACGGAGCAACTGAGCCAAGAACTCTTGCAGTCGTGCTGTTTCTATGTGAAGCCCGAAGTCCAAATCTGGAGCACTCATCTCTGCATGTGCTGCAGGTAATTGTTGGGCCTTTAACGTTTCTCTTTCAAGAATGTTTCCCTGTTCGCTCCTGTTGCGAAATTTCGCCCAACAGGAGACACTATTGCGTGCGAGACGTACAGGACAGGTTTCCGCACTAGTAAAGAGGTAACCTATTAATCACCTTGCCAGTTCCTAGCACTTTTATGGGAAGATTGAATAACTAGGTCTACCAAATCGCGAGAGTGCGCCAATCCTGATACCGGCCTTCATGGGTTTGTCTCCTAAGATACTAACGCGTTTCACTTGACGCAGCGATACGTTTCTGCAAGTAGTGGAAATGGAGCCCGAACTAACTCCGAAAGTTGCAAAATGTTTGAACTTTTATCTATAAAGTAACACTTTGTCAAGATCTATATTTGTGTAGTGGGGCTGCCCACCAGATGCATGCAAGCCTTGATGGACAGCTACGGTGGTAACATGCATGCGTTCAGGCTCGTAAACACTGGGGGAAAAAATAGATCCGTCGACCACACTTAAAAACTTTGTAGCAACTATGCTATGAGCAGACTATACAGATTACGTGGAATACTTCACTAGCAGCAGCCATTTACAAGACCATGACGTACGCGGGATAGAAATATTCACCGAAGCTTTTACATTCGTGTGTAAAACTTCCGCAGCATTTCCGCCGATATTGCAGGGTGCGGAGCATTACTCAAATGGATTAAAGAAACAATCTAAGGTTGATCACATCGCCATAGTCTTTTCTCGACTTGAGGCCCCAAGAAGCCTCATTCCACGAAATTAGCTGCTGCTCCTACTGTTACATCGACCGGGACAAAATAGGTTATGATAACGTTCGCTAGCATTCCTACTGCGCATTAACAATTTTTGTCTGTTACCACGCCAAAATGGTGAACTATGTTATTTTGCCGTCTCTGTGAAGCAGGGCACCATTCTAGACGCATTTGCACACAGCCCTTCAATTGCATAAGGCCACTCCCCTTCGTTGTATCCCGCTTCCTTTTTGGGCAATACAGTTGGGCGTTTGAGTGCGCTCGAGTATGGCGCATTTGCCAGTCCCCCGATACCCTGGCGGCCTCAGCCAAAGCATGTACATGGCGGCAGATAGCTAAACTGTGCAACCAATAAAAAACGGAAGGCTAGAGTCTGCTCACTTTTTGGAGCGCTTCAACACAACAGAAAAACTTCCAATTTTACGGTGAATGAGAAGGAAACACTGTGGTGGATGATTCCTCCCTGCGGCTTTCCCTCAATAGACAGGACCTCAAGAGTATGCCAGTTCTGGCGTGCTAGCCATACAAAGTTTCGATTCCTTCACCCAAGCTTAAACAGCCCTAATATCGGATATAACTACAATCACACAAAGTTTTAGGAGTTTCTTTATTAGCGGCAGGCTTTTTCTGTTTGCATATACGATGGAGGGCAAAGACTTGGGGCACTTGAAGCTTGATGCCGTCATCGGTATTAATGGAGGCTCCAAAAGGTGCATTCTTATGCATCCTGACAACCAACGGCTAATATTTGCCCTTGGTTACTCTATCGTTGTTCGTGACCTCATAAGCAGCTCCGATACTTTCTTGTGCGGACACGATAACTGTGTCACCTGCATTGCAATAAGCAAGGATGGGAAATACTTGGCCAGCGGGCAAGTTACTCATCCAGGCTTTGTAGCAGACATCATAATCTGGAGCCTCGACGATGCAAGAGAGCTTGGAAGGCTTAGGTATGTACCTTCCACTGCCTTTATTAGGGTCATGTCTAGCCAAATCACACTACAGCATGTCCTTCTGATTTTGTATTTCGAGCGTTCAGCTTTCACAAGGTCTCAGTAGAGTGCCTTGACTTTTCTTGTGACGGCAAATTCTTGGCCAGTTTGGGTGGCGAAAGCTGCAACACTCTCGTGCTTTGGAGCGTTGAGGAGAGGAAGGCACTCTGTGGAATTGCTGCTGCTCTAGAGACTGCCAGATGTTTGGCATTTTACAATAACACCCCTAATATGCTGGTATCCGGTATGCTTTCCGCTTGCTTTGACATTACAATTTATTTTGGCTGAACCTCACAAGTATGCTGTCAAAGCACAACCAAATCCGGCCGGTTGGAATCCACATGAAGAAGACTGCATACAGAAAACAAACAGCTTCCTTCGTTTTGCCTCATGTTGTACTCAGCGGGAGCGTCACACCTCCGAATTTGGGAGATTGATGCTGAGACGAAGAAGATGACACCACGAGATTGCAATCTTGGCAAGCTTCGTAGGTGTTGTGAAGCTCTTGTTATTCACGCCGCTGATGAAATGGTGTACTGTGGGACGCAGTCCGGTAAGAATCTATGCTTGGCGCCGTTTGCAATGGTTTTGGCAGTTACATCAAAAGCTTCGATAAAAGAAATGGAAACTTAGCCTCTGGAAGAAGTGCTCTAGTGCTCTTACACATCCAATGTAGAGAACTCATCAACAGCAGTAAGCTTCTTCGGCCATTTTCATTGTTCTTCTATGAGTGTCCCAGGTGATATTCTTGAGGTATCGCTTAGCACGGGATTGTTCAAAAGAAGCGGGCCTCCAAAACGGCAGCTTAGGGCAGGTGTCACTGCCATGACTTTAATAGGTAGCCAGCTTTTTGCAGGTACCGAAGACGGCCAGTTATTTAGGCTAGGAACTGATACTCTCTCTCCATCAAGCGTTTGTCAGATCTCTGGAGCAATTACATCTCTGATTGCAGCTCCAGACAGTTCCATGCTTTGGGCAGCAACCTCAGCAAATAATCTGTACAGAATTGATGCGCGGACACTGACGCCTCATCTCAAGCACTCTGCACACGCTGGTACAATAAATCAAGTGGCGTTTCCAGACAACTGCTCCCAAATCCTAGCAACGTGTTCGGCATCAGACGTGAGAATATGGGACACAAGGACCTACAAAGAATTGTTACGAATTCAAATTCCTGGCGTTGAGTGTTTATGTACGGCCTTTGCTCCGGATGGATCTTCAATAATAACTGGATGGAAGGATGGAAGGATTCGCGCATTCACTCCAGAGACGGGAAAGCTACTCTTTTGTATTGAACAAGCACACAAGGACGGAGTTACAGCAATTGCAGCAACGAGAGTTGGCAGGCGATTGGCATCAGGAGGTGTTTCTGGCCAGTTCAGGGTGTGGGATATACACAGCAGCTCTCAAGAGATGTTGGCAAGCAGAAAGGAGCACCGAGGGAAAATCTGCTGCTTACGACTACGTCGGAACAACATTCACGTGGGATTAATTAAGGCGACACAACGCTGAATACGCATTTTGGGAGCCGCATAAAGACTTTGATGACAGCGTTCGAGTAGGACTTATGAGGCGTGTTTGGTTTTCACGTGGCGTTTCCATTCAGGCCCTAACAGCTGCTGAAGACGGCACAATCATCGTTTGGGACATGACAACATATACTTCAATTCTGTCAATCAATGAAAGCACAATTTTTCGGGTGGGTAGGGGCATCCAGAGAGGCAGGTTCCTCATTTGAATCACTTTAGTGTCCTGAAACTGCCTGCTTGTCTGCAGTTTGATGCTATTGGCTGGCGGTTGGTCATTTATATCTACTCTATAGAACGCAATGTGCAAATTACCACAGAGCGCTACTTATTGTGCCGATGAAGTGCACATCCTTGCAACGGGCAGCGACCGGAAGATTCACTACTTTGATGCTCTAGATGGTACGAAAATACGGGACTTCGAGGTCGCAGAGGATGGAGATGTACACTGTATTTCTTACCAGCCAAAAGACCACTTAGTCTGCACTGGTAAGCCAACTCAACTCCTTCAAGTGCACTTCGCCAAAACAGCAAGCTATTGCTTACTCGTGTAGGTATAAAGTTCTTTACAGGGGAGCGTCAGATATGGATATTGCTAGAGAGTGGCCGCGGCACTAGCGAAACTGAGACCAGTTGCATCTCGCTGCTTGCAGGTGGCGACGATCGTTCGCTTCGTCTTTGGGGATACGAATCCGGGGAATGCATAGCTCAGAGTGGCTGGCACGCTGACATTCCACACTGCGTCTGCTTTAGCCCTGACGGCAATCTTCTTGTGTCTGGTGGCAACGGTGGAGTTATTCACTTTTGGCACATTTCCGAGGAACTTCTTCAAAAAAGCAGCGAAATAAGAATTTAGCCGGCATATTTCACTTTTGTTCCCAACTTCTCCTAAAAATAGGACTTATCCGACGAAGCATGCTGCTTTTGAATAGTTCAAGTCGTGTTCGCAGCTACGGCCTAAATGACAGTGACTTTCCTACCTCTTTGCTCCCCTCCAGAATGTGCGCATGGTAACTTACGTAGCAGCCTCCACTGAACTACAAATGTGTGCTGCTGATGTTCCATATCTTCCTAGTATCCGCATTTTACTTTAGAATAAATATATATTTTGTAGCTGATGACTCAACTTGGGCCTAACAAAGGATTAAGCGACAAACTACAGACACGCCACATCCTGAAACATATTTTTCCATCTATCTGGATATCGGAAATCGAATGCTCAAATATTGAATTCCAAAAAGCTCGTGAGCTGTTCAGTGGTAAGCAGGACCAATCTCACCCTTGTTGTAGTAATTTTCTGCTGTTTTGTGAGCTGCTGACGGTGGCCCTGTTCAGTTTTATCGTGTACGAGAATGTAAATATTTCAATATTAATTAGGGAAGGAATGAAAATCCTGCATTGATGCCTTCTACAATATAAGAAAACTCAGTTTTCATCAAGACAATAAAATGAATCCCTTCGCATCCTTATCATCGAACAGAAGCAAAAAAGGATAACATCTGTCAAGCCAAACGCAGTATGCCTAGAACCAAGTCAGTTGGTCCTAATAACAAGAAGTTCTTCATTGTTGCACAAATAATACATGTACTAACAGAAAACAATATGCTAGAAGCAAAGCATGCGCTAAGAAATAAGATACTCCCAAGGCCAAGATTTTGTCGTTTACCCAAGCAGGCCCGTCGTTTGAATGGCATTTTTCGTCAAAACGGTGTCTCAGAAAAATTATTACCTACAACCGCATGCATTGAGATCAGTGGCGGAGGCGGAATATATTTCAAGCTCATACGCGGTCTGTGATTGTTCCGATAGTCTTCTGCCACTAAGCCCGAAAGGAAGCAAGCCTCACCAGTAGCGTTAGTGTGGCAAAGCCTTTACTTGACCTTTTCGAGAAAATTGAGGCACAAAGCATCTTCTCCCATTGCTCTACGCCTCTATATACTTTTTTCCAAGTGTTTGGAATATGCTTGGTGCCTCATTTCGCTTCATTTATTCGGCCAAAAGCTCAAATCTTTTCGAATCATTTGAGAAAGGATTTGACAAAAGAAAACGCACGTCACAGGTATGGGTTCCCACTTGATATAGATCGCGACGAAACTTGATGCACCATCACAAACAGCATGGGGATCCTGCCAGAAGCTTGCCTTGCAATAATGAGTAGTCATGGCACTAAACGTCTCGAAACTACTACAGTAAAACATTAAGAACTACGTAATCTTCATTGCCTGTCTCTGCAGTGCTGGAGATTTTTGCCATCGCATCATTTGTCAGTTATCCAGCCGTTGTCCGTCAGTAAACCCAGCACCCACTGGCAAATTAGAGCTAACAATCCCACTAAGTGAGCTTTCTACGCCTCCTGCAAAGCACACAGCTACCCCGTTATGTTTTGTTTCGGACTTGTCGTCTCCTGTACACGCATGCGGTCTTGATGCTGCTAGCGCAAGCTTGTCACGACATAAGAGTTGCTGCTTAGTCTTCACTTCGCCGCGGTTTCTCTTCTTTTAAAGGGAAAATTAGACGCCAATGCATGCAGCGGCCAAAGGGTGCGTAGAATGCGCGTTTAGAAGAAAGCGTCGCCCTTAAGCGAGGCGGGAAGCATCGGCTGGTCGCATTTTGGACAGTGGCCTCCCCTCGCATCCTATACCTCAGGGCAATATTGTTTGGACAGGCATTTTTTCCGGCAGCCTGACTAGAGGGCAGTCTTCCATTTATGTCCATGCCGAAGAAGCGAGGATTGTCAACGTCCAGATGCACTGCAAAAGACGGAAAAGATGCCAGTCTCGCAGGTACACGCACTTGCGGCCACCTTTTCCAAAAAACTTGTACTTTTCTTTCTTCGTTCGCAGGGTTAAAGGAGTCTCGTGCTTCAGCAACGTAATTATTTTGTGATTCTGCGGCTTTGTTTCGGATTATCATTGCGAAAAGCCGAAGGCCTACGAGATCAAAAGGATTGGCTAACTTTGGTGATTCCCAGCAGATGCGCGCGCGCAATCCTTACTTGGCACGGGTGCTGAGGCCCGCATTAATATTGTCCAACAGGAACGGCATCTACACTCTGACGAACGAAGCCAGCTCACTTCAAGGCATTGCGGCCCGAAATCTTTGCGTGCCAGCTCTCTCCGAAGTCTTCAGGATTGAAGGACCACGTGATCCAACGCGGCACCACCTTAACCTACGCCGACGCCCTGGCTCCAGCAAGCTCGCACTCGAATTTAATTGCTCATCCGCTGATAAGCACTTTATTACTAACAATTACTTCTCCTCAGGACTTAGCCCTTGACTTCGCGGAGTTCGAACTCCTCCAACTCCTTCGGATCGACGTTCTTCTTTAATACGATTTAAGCCAGTCATTGGCAAGCGCTTTTGGTCTGTTCGTGATTCTCTTTGCAATGGAGCAGTATTCCGAAACTACATCAGTCTGGGGAATGCGAGCACCGACGATGACAGCTGCTGAGCATAGCGCTATAATCGTGGCCTCAAGTTGTCTGGGGGTTCTCTTACTGTACTATATGCTCAGAGTAAAGTGCACCCTAGGTATGTCCTGCAGTTCGGGAGCTAATTTCTCGCCGTGGGCCAAAAATGCAAATAGACCAGCAGCAGTTCCAACATCTTGTCGCTGATTACTGGGTTGAGCCAGCCATCCTCTTTGAGGGAGCCTACAATCCTTGCAACTTCGGCTCTAGTATATTTTGCCGAAGCTCAGCAACGTCTGGCCACGTAGTCTCGACTTGAGCACACCTCATTTGGGTTATATGTATTGGCGCACAACTTCAAGCAACTGAGTTACGGAAACGTCTGAATGGTACGTATGGAACTTAGCGGAGACTAGGAAAGGAATTGTACAGGAAAAAAGTAATAAGCGTGTGCAATGAGAGACAGGGGGGAGACTAGAAAATGTCCCCTAGGCTAGTCGCTTGCCACCTGACTAGTAGCATGCACTCAGCCCAAAGGTCCAGAGGCCGCCAACGTGCGCAAATGCAGAATTGCCGTACATTGTCGTCTATCTGGAGCCCTTGCATAGTTCTTTCCCGCATGGAAGAGGTGCATCAAAGCAATGTTTGCATGTAGGAGGACGCAGAACGCAATTGGACACCCTCAGCTGCTTATGCTGACGGAGAGCATCATGTCACGAGGTGACATTAGTGCGGCGTGCGGGCGGCTTCTCGGCGGCCACCTACCCATTAAGCGAGACACCTCGAACTTTTGCGTTTACTGGGGATACGGGATAAAGACTCATAAATGATTGTGAAACTCATGTTTCATCCTAGCGGGGCTCTTCTAAAGGGTTTTTGTCGTTTCAAGTTCTTGCAGACTGTCATCTTTCCTGACGCCCTCCACTTCGTCACTGATAAGTTCTGCGGCGTGTAGCACCCCTTACCTGTGGACGCTTTCGGCCACTTGTCTGCTCTCGTAATTCTGATTTTTGTGCAGCGGAAAACAACAGCAAATGTCAGGTGAATCTAAGTACACAAAACCTGGTTTCATGTATTTTCGAAAGGAAGGCGCTTTTGAATGGCGGGCTTCGTGTTTCTAACGAAGTCCATGAAGAGCCAACATTAGGACCACCTACCACCGGTCGGCCTTTTCCTGTCGTCGCAATTTTTTGTGAGGTTTTATACGCAGTAAAAAGACACCAAATGACGCCCATACAGAAGTACACGACCGACATGACTGTTTCAGTCGTGCTTCGACATTCGCGTTCCCAATGAATGCGGTGCATAACTACCTCGCTTTCAAAGAGAAAATCCGTGGAAGCCAACCAATATTGGTAACATACGCATTCACGTTTCCACACCGCATAGACTTTTTTTCACCTTTTCAACAGCGGATTATCTCGTGCTGTTGCCCTAGTTCCCATCGGCGCGCGACGTATCGCCAGATGTGGATTCTACCTAGTGATTTAAATGTGTCTGTCACTCGTTCGAAGCTGCTATTCCTGCTCATGTTTTGCTTGGCAATTGCTAGTCTTATTTTCCCTGGCAAAAATTAGACTTTTGAGGTATATTTTGCAATTTTATATATCGAACCTTCGTTCCATCCAGCTAAGCAGCATTTCCGCTCCTGCATCGCCAAGCGGAAAGCCGCTCCGTTCCAACACTGTTTCGCATCGCATGATCAACAACGTGTCATCGTATATTGTTCGTGAGAAGTGTCGACCCAGAAACTCCTTGTAGGCTTTAAATTGTCACTTATTAATGGTGGCAACGAGACAAAGGTTTATGTTGTGGGCGAAGACGCATCCGAGGAAGCAAGGGCCTGTCAATTGAAGGCAGTCCACGTCATAAAAGGGCACCTTTTGCGTCCACATGATTGGTCATAGAGAGCCCAGAATGCAAAGTGCATGTGAAGGTAAGTGCTCTGCATCCTTTTCCATCCTTTTTTACCCTGAACGCTAACACCCACTTATACGCATTCACAGGATATACACGAGGCGATAAATAAATTTGGACTGTCATATGCAGCCACTGGCCGCAGCAGGGCACCCCTCGTAAAAGGCGGGCACGCGAAAAGATTTTCACGGGTTTTCATTTTGAGTGAGTGGCTTTAAGCTCTGCAGCAGCGTTAATGTAAAGAGCGAGCTGCGCCCAGTCTGTGCTAAACTGTAAAGCGTTTTCGCAGAGCTGTATATCTGTGTCGTACTTATTTTGTTTTATTTGCGGGCGAGGCTCCATCATTCTACTAAGCCTTTGTATGCGTCGCTGTGTCGTTTCTCTAACGATGGAAACTTATCAGGAGGAGAAAGACGCAGAGGGATATTGGCCTCCTTCACGTCTTTTATTCAAGTGCCAATTGGCGTGTGCCACTGATTTCACCGTGGTTGACCTGCTGAATTTAAAGGGTATATGTCTTCGAGAGGTGGTGGCTCGGTCTCTAGTGGTTCTTCATTCTTGCCTTGAAGCCCTACGTTTCTGTTCGTAGTGTCCGACTGGATAGGTGAATCATCTGTTTGACAGCTGAGAGCTTTCCCTGCGTGGAAACCCACTAATGCACATGCTTCCCTGTGATGTCACTCCACATTTGCTCTACCTGTCCCTTTGGAGTTCACGTTTAAAAAATAAGTACCTTGAGCGTTTTTGCTGCTGCTGACGAGTTGCTTGTTAGATTGCTTAGGGCGCTCGGCTATCCTTCCCGTGGTGGATGTCGGCATACAGATGCGTAGTTCGCCGGTGGTCTGTGAGCGCTTAACCTAAGAATATTCATCAGCACACGTGGCTCTCCAATGATTGTTTTGATTTGCATCCAGTCAAACGAAATGTTGTGACTCCTTGAAGTTGTTCAAAATGTTTTCGACCTTTTGGCAGCGAGGAGGAACACTCAATGTTTGAGCTGGCGCATATTTCTGCTGACAAGAATCCTCAGCCTCCTCTACTTATTTCCTGGTAGGCAGACCTTGCATTTAAGCGCATGCGCGTTTGATTACGCGGCCGCTTGCAGAATGGGGTGCGGGCGGGCAATAGAATGCATTGGTGTAGCAGTCATAGTTACTAGGTACGTGAACGCCCATCATCCCTTGACAAAACTTTGGCTAGTTCGAAGACATCGTTGATTCTTTTTCTTTTACGTTTGCCTATATCTGTTGTCGTGAGGATCCAGCAATTTACGGAGTGAAGAATGCTGGAAACTTGTTTTGCTAATTTCCCGTTGCTTGATATCGCTTTCTGGCAAACCATTATTCTACTGCGCTGAAAAGCTCTATCGTACACGGTTCTCTGGATTTTAGGCTGCCCAGAAGTTGCAAAATTTTTCTGGCAGCCAGGAGCCTTACCGTGGAACGATCCGGTGAAACGTCTTCAGGAAGCCTGAGCTGTGTAATCTTGCCTATCAAAGCACAGCGGCAAACAGGTTTACTGAGTCGCTGTGACAGAGAGTATTGTCAAGATAGCTCTCTGCTTGCCGTTAGCGAAAGGATTGACCAACTCCCATTTGGAAACGATGCACCACTGCAGAACGTCAACTGTCGCCAATATGAACGCTGGCGCTTTACCTTTAACTGTAACTCGAAGATACTTGGGATGCACATCGACATCAATCAGCAAAGTAGACAGATGCCTGAAAATATAACATTCAGTTAGCTTGGCATCTTGCTGTGCATTCCTTTAGCTTGGTAAACCAACTTTTCATTCACGGCAGCTATATTCGGAGCACACCTCGGCAACTGAAACGTGGCAACTATCTGGCCTGGGTCGCTGAAAGAGTCCAACGTGAAGGCTAGTCTACCTGAAACAAAAATATAGCACACCTTGTCTGTAAGTGTTTCTGATAATGTTTGCTCAGGGCAGAGTCGGAAAAACTTTTTGCTGTGTAGTTCTAGCTCAGCGATGCCTACCTTCATTGCACTGGCGTATTTCACCTTTGCTGTTGTATGTTTCAAAAGGCTTTGCCTGTAGATATCAGTCGTGAATCGCGCAGGACACTCTAGGCAACTGTTGATAAAAATAAAGGCTGGACAGAAATGATCTTCTGGGGCTTACTTTCTTCTCTGTCTCCTCTTTGGCTTTTGCATGTGCCTCTTCTCTCTGAACCGCAGCAGCGTCCACGCTAAAGGCTAAATAAATACAAGCGCTCTAAAGAAAGCCCCAGCGTTGGCGCTCGCATATTATGCTAATTTAAACGCCTCGGAAGGTATGCTGCACCCGTCAATTGTCATCTGCTCAACTGAATCTCAGGGTGGGTGCCAGCAAGCGAGCCTGATCTGTACGTTCGTACATGAGACATCTCGCGGTACATTCTTTTGCGATTCTCCCGAGTGTATGCATCCTTGGAGTTTTCCGCTGCGCAGCCAGTGGACATTTTACTGCACCTTAAACAAGCACTAAAGTGCTACACATTTTTGAGCCTCAGTACTCGGGCAGCGCAGGCCACGTGCTTGCCTCACTTGAAGATTTATCTTGAAGTAAAATTGTTTTTCTGAGATCTTCTCTTAGTGCAGGTAGGGAGCGCAGAGCCTCTATGCGTTCAACAGGTGTCACAGTCTTCCCATCTAGCTGTTTCAATTGGAGCAATGTAGCAACTGTAAAGCTTCTGCAGCCTACCCACCTGAAGACATATGCCAGCGCTGTACATCGATTGCTCTTCAGGCAACCCAAAGTATGTCATTACCCTCAAGCAATGCAAGCTAACTCTTCGCACGTGGAAAAAGGGTGATGAAGTGACGGTGCAGTTTCCCACTCTGTGCAGGGGTTCCCCATAAGATAAAGATCCTCAAGAGAGTCAATGTCTTTCAGGTTTTGAAGTGATTCCTCTAGCTTAGATAGACTGATGAAGTTCACTGTAAGGTCGAGCTGCAGAAAATAGCCGCATAAAGCGTGTAGCTTTGTGGCCACGAGCGGCTGCTATTAGAAGACACAGCTTGATCGTGCATTGAACCGATGAGCTCGTTCTGACAAAGCTTTGAAACAGACAATTGCAGGCCTGTAATGGCTGGATGTGTGCTTGTACTGAAGCTTTGCAACGATGCGACGCACTTTAAAATTTTCCTTGAAAGTGTGTCCTACTCACCTTCTTCAAGCTTTCGCACCTTTCGAGGTTTTCAATAACTTCAATGTTATTAAGTGCCACATTTAAATACTCTAGCTTTTTCAGCCTCCCCAAATTTTCGAGCCGTTCTGCGAAACAGGACTTGTATAGCTGCAGCGCCAAGACGGATGTGTGCTATGTATCTGGCGTATTCGTCTCAGTCCTTAAGAACTACGAGGATCTAGACCCATGCTTTCTAGTTTTGCATGCGTTCTGCTGCTCAGCTACACGACTCAACGGAAGTACGGACCATCTTCACGTAGTAAGGGTGTTGCATCCATGCAAGATTGTTAAACCCACCAATCAGGTTATTTTGCAGCAGCAGAATTTTCAAATCTTTGCACAAGCGGTCGATGAGCTCGATCTTTTCAATTTCCAGCTGGTGAAGGGCTATTTCTTCAAGATTCTCCAGGGTGTCCTCATTGTGTTCCGACTTGCGGCGAATGAGCTCCTCCGTAATTCTCATCGTAGTTTTCGCGAAGTCGAGTAGAGAGAGTCAAGCGCCTAATATTAGACTCTAGAGTATTTGTTTGTACAAAGATTAAAGATAATAAAAGCAAAGTGAAACGGAACAGCCGAGTACGGCGAGCATCATCCCTTTTACCATTGTCGGCTGGTCTTCTACCATACCCTATCCACCTACAGTTGGTGCATCGCAAAACAGTTGTGCAGTGCGCGGTCATCGCCATTTTTCGTTTGTTATTATGCCATAAAATGCTACAAGAAACAAAATAGCTACTTACTACTTATATTAAACCTATAATCCCCTGGCGCTAAGCTCGTCTCTCCACAATCGTCAATAGACGCTCGGTGTACTTGTGACGAGGGCTCGAAAATCAGGGTCTGTCACACTTCTATTTTTTCTGTTTTCAGTGCAAAATCGTTCCGGCGTTTATTAATGTGGCCTTTGTACCTTTGTTTCATCGTATGCATGACAAGGAGGAATCGCAACACTCGAGTGTGCGTGAAGGAAGCCCCAAGTGAACAATTCCATGAGCTACGTACACATTAGTACTTGAAGTAAAAGTTAAATGCTCTTCTATATGACATCCTATAGAACGCATTTTAATTACGAGGAGATTAAGGATTGTGAAAGCCTGCAAAATACCGTCCTTGCTGAAGGTCAAATTTTGTCCCTTGCAGGAGCAGTCAATCACAGGATATTCGAAGCAGCAACATCTGACAGCAAAGAGTCTACGTTTATCAGCTGATAATCAATCCTATTCTTTTGCACTTGCTTCTAACAGCTCGGAAGACCTCTCTTGACACTATCCGGCGTTCTACTGTTTATGACTCTAATTTTTACTGTAGCGACGCTTGGAATGAGTTTCCTTGTTTCAGGAGCCACTTGCTCTTCGTTTCAGCATGAGCTCTGGGACACTTCAGAAAACTATACCGAACCCCTCTAAAGGAAGCCTGTGAACGCTTTTGAGGTGGAACGGAAGGCTGACACAGTGCCCGAGCAACAGATAGCCGCTCATTGCACCCAAATTGCAGCGTTTTTTCCCTAACCGGGTTTATCCAATTCCAGCTGCACTTTTCAAAAATGGCGAATGCGTTCAGCACTCCGAATATATATGTGCGTTGTAGTCTGCATGCCCTAAATTTCCCTTCAAGGGCAACAACAGCCGCTGCTAGGTTCATCGTTCTTGTAGCTAATGAAATAAAAGAGACTTTTCACGCAAGTGGAGGATACGAAAGTCTGACTTGCCACTAAGTGGCCACAAAAGATTCTTTGTCGAGAACTCCAGGGCCATCACGCGAGCATGTCGAATATTTCTACGCGAGTGTGTCTTGAAAACAAAGCATAGCCCAGAGCACGACTCAAGCCTGGAAGAGCCGTCGCGAGGCTCAGCATGGGCTCACACAGATTTTAAGGCGGTTTTTTTTTGCTTTTTTTGCACTAAAGAGCACAGTGCCCACAAATACGCCATGCAAGAAATATAGATGAAATTCATATTTCGTTGCGCTGTTTGCAGTGGTGAGGCAATGGACAAGTCTGACATGCATTACGCAAAACTACAATGCAGCGGAAGGATGGCCTGCAGGACTGTGAAGTTGAGACTATTCAGGTTGGCGTGATAACCAGAACTACATAGCATGCAAAGAAACTGGGAAGTCGAAAGACCAGACCCTGCGTGCTCAAAACTTAGGCCACGGGTTCAGGGGTTAGAAGAGGGACTGGAACTGCATCGCTCGGCACAGTCACCAAGAGAAACAAGAAACAGCTGGGGAGAAACAGCGCCATTCCTCTAGCTTTAGAAAAGGGGACAATATTTTTGACTCTTGGGACGCTTATGGCATCTACAATGAGCATTGTGACGTTTGAACGTGTTTACGCAGAACAAAAGGTACATATAAGAGCCCAATTGGGCTTAGTTCACTTAACATAGACCATTCGGCTCACTTGATAAGCTTGCACTAGGCCAGACAGAACACATTGCAGGAACACTGAAAAATTCGCAAACGGGCCTTTAAAAATAGTGTGTTTAAGAAGCCGTATCTTCTTCGGGGCGAGTCTGAGAATTCGCGATGGTTTCAGTTATGGCCTCATCACTGAAGTAATGAACCATTTGTCTGGCGGGCTCATCCTCAACATAAATAAGGCGTAAAACCAACATGAAAGCTGCACTAGGGTCAGTGATCTTAGATGTTTCTAAAGCCTCAACAATACACTCACTCCCTGTCAACCGAACTGATATTTTCTTATTTTGAGGGCAGCACCTTATACAGAGTCTCCTTCTTCATGCAGGTTGAAAACCAAAGCAACGCAAGACTATTTTTACATCACGATGATGTATTTCTGTGGCTTTCATCAAGCATGCTAACCACTCTAAAATAAGTTTGTGAAGCAACATCGGCAATTACATTTCGTGTTCACAAGCCGTACACTACTAATGGACAGGCACTGAAACGTAAAATATTCCAGCAAATGCCCAATGTTATGCAAGATCTATATGCATTCATTTAGTCTCTTGGTTGTCCAGCTCTTCACCTGCAGCCTGCAATATTATGTTAGTGCGCTGTGAAAAGGAGTCTGCAGCTTAGAGTTATCAGCTACTCTATGTTGACTGAAAGCATCTTAGTAAAGCATATCGCAAAAAGTCCTGCAGCATGTCAATCTTGCGCGAGGTTTTGTTCGTTTCTTCAAGCATACAATGCCGCTTTCATCTTGCTGTGGGCATTGTGAGGTTTGCCGAAACTTTTAGCCGACACTGCCACTGCAGACCTGGAGTCAGATATAGATGGCAGTGGGATCGCTGTTCTACGCTCCACGCAGAGCATCTGACTCAAAGTGGCGACCCGCTTCTCCAAGCAATCAACAGTATCCAGGGCACGCTGCAGCCAAAAGACATCAACAAGCAGCCAACAGATGCAAACAAGAGTGAGGAAACAACTGGACTACGGTCGAAACAGTCAATTCTCAACGGCGCTAGCTGTCTAGTTTCATTTTTCCGCTTCTTTGTGAGGGATTTCCTTTTGGAGCAGTCGTACATCTGTTTGTTCCTTGATACGCTGTTGCAAAGGCAAAAGAGAAGGCATATGGTGTGAGAGTTCACGACTCAAGCGGTTGAGCTGATAGGAACATGTTTTCCGCAAGACCGACCCTGGTGTCTTGTATAACGGGCAGAAATCACAAACCAAACATTTTCGCTCCTCACACATATCCACGAGGAGAAGTCAAGCAGAATTTTTCTCTCGATTCGTTGCTTTTTGGGGCAGCAAAGTCTGCTTGGACTGTAGTACAATATGCTTCTTCGTGTAAACTTTGGCTTTATAAAACTATACGTCACTAACTGTTTTCTCACAGATGAT